TGTTTCATGCAATATACTAAACAGTTGAAATACCGCTTTATGAAACTAATTATTTTGTAAGCTAATAAAATTTAAGATTGTAATTTATTCACTTTCTATTTTTTCACAATTTTTTTCAATCTGTTTATTAAGAAATCACCGTAAATTGGAAAACACTGACGAATATCTACAGTAGTGGCTATTTTAAATAATCTACGAGTCTTGTTGTTAATTTTTGCATCACCCATTAATATTTTACATAATAATTTTGCCTTAATCTTAAAAAATTTCTTCATACACTCGATTTCTATTAGACACTGTTCATAGTATTTTTGACAATCTTCGTGTAACTTTGTGGCATCAAATTGCTTGATTCTTTTCTCACCATTCGGTGCACTTTCACACACGGCAGTATGTCTTAGCAACATATCCATATTCGGCATACCGTGTCCCAATTTCATTAATCTTATTAATCTTTTGTCTCGATAATCAACCACACATCCTTGATCCAGCAAATATTGTATGAATTCCCATAATTTGGAATTTTCAAAAACATCGTGGAATACATTTATGCCACACTTGTTTTTGTGATTCACATCTGCTCCACGTGCGACGAGTAGTCTCATGCATTCCATCTGATTTTCCGCCGTAGGCTCAAACAACTTGGGTTTGCCAGACGACTGCAAGAATAAAAAAAATTTTTCATTAAAATTTTCATGCATGGAAAATTTTGAATGACTGTTTTTATTAAAATAAAAAATTACCTTTTTACTTAACGTATTTTTCACAAAGTGTAGTTTCATCGATCTCGTCACATAATGTAACGGACTAGCATTAAAACTGTCCAGCTTATTGATCGACGAAGCTCCTTTATGTTTCAGTAACAATTTTATTAATTTTGGTGACGAAATATAAGCTGCTTAGTGCAAGCTGGTCATGCCTTTCTTGTCCACAATCTTGACTTTTGCTCCAGACTTTAATAAGATCTTAGGGATTTTAAGATCTTCTTTCTTCAATTCTTTTTTACCATCTGTAATTCACGTAATGTACATATAAAATATCCGTACCGATTAACATTAATAAATATCATACTAAAATTATATAAAATCTCCATTCGTTTTACCTAAACAGATTTGGATCAAACTCGTCATCAAAGGAGTGCGACCGTCCTCATTTGCAGAGTTGACGTCGTGACCAGCTTTAATAAGTAACTTAAGTACTTTGTAGTTCCCACATTCAACTGCGACGTGTAACGCTTTATGTTGACGTTTAAAATAAGACTTCTTGTCGAGACCATCAGACCGGCAAAATCATACAGAAATATTAACCAAAAATATACATAATTATTATCCCGCATACGTATGTAATGAAAATTCGTAAGCTATATATTATAGGCTTACAAAAATATTTAATGTAATTTTGTTAAAAATTTTGAAAGTATCGAATAAGCTAGCAGCGAAAAAAAACGACTTGTAATTACCTTAGCCGCAGAATTGCCCATCGTGTCGTAACAACAGAAACTGACCACTTTTGCCAATACAAAGATTCACTTTAATGACAAACGAAGCACTTTCGAGAGACTATGTTACTGAGACTTCAGAGCACCACAAAACGATGTGAATAGAACTGGATGAAGCAAGCAACTGAGCTCAACACTGCAAAAGCAGCGCTTTCCATAACTATGACAATGAATTTCACTTATGAGTAGTCCACAGGACTTTCTATTTCAATGCCAAGACGAAGTAACGAATTCGTGGTACAAAAGATTAAAGAGAGAAGGGCAGCTCTCCACGTGGCAGTATATCTTGATAAAGTTTCCCTAAGTGAAGTACATTCTTCCAAAAAGAGAACGAGATATGCTTATTAGTTTGCAATGTAGTCAACACAGACCTCCTCTGACCAATCAGAGAGCTCCGTTAGCCTTATACCGGCGTGTTCACACAGTAAGTACTTACGTTTTTTATTGTACGGGTCGGTCCAATTCCTCTAGCATGTTGGCTCTTTACATGTAGTGAGTATAGGTATACTTTCTTTAGGAATTGGACCGACCGATCGACCGACCGCCGACCGCGCGACCGACTACAAAAAAAAAGTACCCTTTATATCTCTATGGTTTTTTTAATGTTTTTGGGCCCAGAATAGACCAGGAATTAGCGATAAGTAGAGGAATTATCCCGTAAACTGGTAAACACCTCTTTTTTTGGTGCTTTCTGATTTTTATGCTTACTGAAAGCAATAATCATAAAGAGGCTAAAGAAAATGATTATAAGTGCAACATTACTCAACAAATAACAATACTCTTGCCAAAATAGGTATTAACTATATATTGTACTGCATAAAATAACTATCATCCACTAATCGATCAAGCCTTATTCTAATATTTGTATGCTATACTGCCACCTTTTTCTATTGTAATCCTTTCAATATTTATTGCCACAATAGATAAGCTTATATTTTTCTTACTTTTGTTACTATTTGTATTTTTTTCACGCTCAAATAATAAAAGTAGCTGAAAAGGCTTGAAGTTTTATTTCATTCCACGTTGAAGTTTGAAGTACAACACAACCTACACCCAATATTTAATGAATTGTCCATTAAAAAAAATCAAAATCACCGAAAGTACTGATACATAATTATGTTCAAAAATCTAATTCGTTTTTTTTTTATTTCCTTTTTTTTGTGATTAAAACTTTTCAAGGTAACCAAAGTTTTATTATCAATATTATGTCCAGAAAAGTGTGAAAAACTAGCTCTATTCGCTGGGTGTATGATAATAATAATAATAGTAATCATGATTATCCTTATTATAAAAAAAAAAAAATTTTGAATAAATAAATGATACAAAACTTTCTTTTTTTTTAAACAATTTTTATTATTTCAAAAACTACGTAACTCTTCTAATATA